TAATGTATTTTAATATAGCTAATATAATATAATATAGCCGCATATCCAATAAAGCTTAATTTTTTTTGTCAGACAATAGTCGGCTAGCTATTTTTTATGTGTAAAATTTTCTGAATTGAGAGAGTTCGGGAACTGGGTGAACTAATGCACTGTGATAGTGAGTAGCCTATTACAAGTAATAAAACAAGAAAAGAAAGGAAAATAAAATGATCAAACTCAATTCTTTAAATATAAAAACAAAAGCAGGATAAGTGATAAGTCCGTGGAAACAACACTGCTCATTGGCGTCTGTCACTGCCGTGCTGCTCCTCTACTGCAGCCGTTCGCAGAGAGACGTGTGACGGCAGGAGAAAGCAAACCTCGCGCTCGTGGCAACATTTGGTTACTGAGGGTTGTCCAAAAAGCCGCTAGATTTGTCTCTAGTCGCTTTTTTTTTATATCACTAATATAGCGACGACTAAGTTGGCAACATTGGCCTTTTCTGTTATTTTTGTAGGTAGCCTAAATGTGAGACATTGGCAGTCCACATCTGCTGCGTCTTCTGAACAAAACAAGTGAGTTTGCTGACGTATGACGACGCTTTGCAAGAACCGCGGCGCGATGATTCGTCAAAGTTGCAGAAAAGTTGCGTGATTTTTCAAAATTGCAAGGCGCACTGAATTCACGTGGATTTGTTGAAGTTGCGTTAATAGTTGCGATCGCGACATTCGCGAAATCCTGGAGGGACTGACAATGATTTCTGAAGGATCATGTACACCGAAGACTGGAGTAATGATGCTGAAAGTTCAGCTTTTGATATCAAGAATAAATTGCACTTTACTATATGGCCTGACCCTGCTCGCAACGAAAGCCACAGCCCAGCCCATCAGGAGGGCTATGGCCAGTTGAGTGGTGCCTTCCTCGACTCTCCTCTTTCCTCCACTGGTCTCTTCGGCCCTGCGGTGGACGGCTTCGCTGAGCGCTTCATGACTACACAGAAGCCATCGCAGCAGCCAGCCAAACCAGCGTCCTCATCAGACAAAACCCTTCCCACCTAAGCGTCAGGGACCCTGGCTTAGGATTACGCTGGACCAAGAAGCAGTCCTGCTCATCCAGACAGGAAGAGTTGAGGGTTAAGTCTCGCTGTGGCCGGACCACACTCCTAAAAGCCCCCGTCACAGACTGATTTTGAGATTTGCTTTCGAAGGGGTGGCCTACCTGTATTCATTCCTCCCATTCAGACTGTCCCTGGCCCCATACACTTTTACGAAGTGTTAGATCCCCCCTTAGACAGAAGGGAATGAGCATCTTGAACTACATCAAGCTCATTCTGGCCCAGTCGGAGGAACAGATCTGTGCTCCTCAGCCATTTGGACTCATAATCAGCACAGCCAAGAGCTCTCTGTTCCCCAGTCAGAGGATCTCCTTCCTGGGTGCAGTTATAGACTCAGTCCATGTCTTAATCCAATCAGACAACACGACAGTAGTGTCCTAAATAAACCGTCAGGGTGGGCTCAGGTCGAGACCTTTGTACAGGCTAGCCAGAAGTCTCCTCTTATGGGCACAAGGCAACCTGTGCTCGCTGAGAGCGACTCGTGTGCCGGGAAGACTGAACCAGGGAGCAGACATGCTTTCCTGGGGCAATGTATCACCAGGGGAATGGACCCTTCAGAGCGTTTTTGGGAGAGCAGAAGTCGACCTCTTCACCTCCGAAGACTACTTTCACTGCCTAATATTCTTCTCGAAAGGCAGTCCTTCTAGTGGCCCCTCTCTGACGGACCCAATCTTGGTTCCCCGAGTTGATCACAGCAGCCCCAAGGCCGATACCCCTAAGGAAAGACCTCCTTTCCCAAGCGAACAAGATGATTTAGCACTATGGGCCCTCCATGTGTGGCCCCTCAACAGGAGCTTACGAGAGTCCTAAACACCATTTAGGGCCCGCCCACAAGACACCTCCACACCCTTAAGTGGTCTGTGTTCTCCAGCTGGTGCTCAGCCCAGAGTCTAGACCCTGCTTACGCCAAGTACCTCTGGTACTTTCATTTCTTCAACAGCTACTCGACTCTAAAGTTGTCCTTAAGGCAAGCCATGGTTATGTGCCCAAAGCTCAAGTACTGCTCTTCTCACGTCTCAAGACGAGCAACAACTGCTCCTGCTCCTCCCGGTCCGGGCCCTGAGAACATATATAGAGCGCTAACGTAACCTCGGTTCCCTGAGATAAGGGAAGGAGTATTGTGGAGATGGCCGAGCTATGTCGCACACGACTTGCTGTTCATTGCTTCAGTCGATTTAACCTGAATCTATGGCGAAATGAGTGTCTTTGGTAGGCAGATGCCCCGCCCCTTCTAGCAGGCTCTGCGCTCGGTTTAGCGGGCCTGATTGGCTCGCGCAGTTGCGCCGCTCCGCCATAGGCTCATGCATTTCCCACTGATCAGCCAATAAGTGTGTGATTAATCGCTGGACTGTTATGGCGATGCAGTAGCACTGCGTTATTTTATAAACGGCTTCAGTATTCAGAGAAAAAGGAGTTTTCCCCATTTCGTCTAGGAGACGCAATACTCGTTCCCTTATCTCAGGGAACCAAGGTTACGTTATTAACCGATGTGTTTTACATTGGAATAATATTTCACCGTTTTACTGTATCTTTTATGAAATAAATGCAGCTGGTGAGCAGAAGAGACTTCTTTAAAAAAACCCATTGGACATCTTGCTGACCACAAAACGTTTCGTAATGCATCGATTAAGGAGTTTAATAATACTACTTTAATATATATTGCTGTTACTATAATAGAATATTTGGAGAATATCCCAATTTTAAAGTATGGCTGGCACTTTCTGTCCGGGAACCGCCACTCAATCAAAATGACGGTTTATGACAATCCTGATCCCATCAGTTTGACTGAATGAGCTGGATTACGTCAGAATCTGTTTTGTGTTTTAATCAGACGTCAGTCTCACAGCAAGGCATGTTTCTACAGCAGGGAGAAACACAACGCTTGTTATCTGTCAAAATGACAGATAATAGTTAATGATGAAACACAACATCCGTATTACATAACTTAGGTTTGCCAGGGTTTCAATGGACTGAATCTTTGATGGATTGAATATTATAAAGTGTTTTTAACCTTCGCTGCATGTGAACCTGTTGTAGGAGACTCCAAAACAACATTAGGAACCTTTAAAATAGCATAACGGGGCACTTCAATACTCTTATAATTTTAAGTTAGATGGCTAATGTAGTTAAAATGTTAAACAAACCTTATTGTAAAGTGCTACCGAAAACATTATTTAAATATCATACCAAAATCAAATCATATTGTGGTCAAAAAATGATTGTCAGAGTGAACAGATACTCTCTTCTCGAACAGCGACAGAAGTTTATGCACTGATTCCAGAGCTCTTCCAGCGGGTTTAACAGGAGTGAGTCGTGTTGTTGACTGGGTTTTACACCTCGTCTGTAATGGATCTGAAACGTACCGAGCTTCCATAATCCATCACAGAGAAATCCAGGCTGTACTTCCTCCCTACGGTTCCCACGACCTGTCAACACAAGAGTCAGAGTCATCCTTCAGCAAACACTCACAGGCCCAGTCTCGCTGAAGGCAGAGGACGAGCACAACTCCAGAGCACGCAGATCTGAAGAGAGAACTTGAACAATAGATATTCGTACTGGTGTGCTAACATTTACACTCACAGCTCCAATGTGAAAACCCGTACAATAAAAATATTTGCACTCGCAGACAAGTCACAAACCTGTACTCTGAATTTGAAGCTGCAGACAAGGAGTAGGTAGAAATGTGTAAAAGGCCACTCACAGAAATACAATGACAGACACAAACATCTTGTACAACCTCAGTTAGGCACATGCAACTTCTCAAATCTGCCATTTCATGCTTCACACCTTGACTTTCGCAACTATTTTCACGATATATTAGATTCAAAACTAACTTGTCTGTCACTTCAAATGCAGAATTTGGGTTTGTGATTATTGTATTATTCTGAAATCTGTGTGCTGTAGAGTTCTGCTCCTGCTTTGCCTTCACGAGCGTCTGAGCTGAAGTGTGTGTGTGTGTGTGAGCTGGCCTCACCTGGTCCTCCGCCGTGGCCGTGTGCACCTGCTGCAGGCCGAACACCCTGAAGGGCGAGCCGTGGTGTGTGTTCAGGTGATGCAGGGCCACTTGAGCCGCCCGCCGCGCTGGGAAGTGTGTGGGAACCAGCTCTCCGGTGGCCATCGTCGGTGTCTGAGAGAGCAGAGGCACACACAAGCACTGAGACACACCTCACTCACAGGGTGTGTGTGTGTGTGTGTGTGTGTGTGTCTTACACTGTACTTTGAGTCTCTAACAGTTGAGTAACAATAGCATGTGATCACTGTCAAAACGAGGAGATGAAGAAATACTCAAGTGTTCACACACAAGCAGAAGCTGCTAGGAAGAGTTTCCGCACTTCCTGTTTTGTGCTGTAGCCCCGCCCTCTTTTAAAGAGACACCGCACTCTCAGCACATCCAAAATATCCTGGCTCTTCCAACCCTTATAATGGCAGTTTTAAAAGTGTGTCCATCCATCTTAAGTGCTCCGGGGGTTGATAAAGGCCTTCTGAAGGGGAGTGATGCGTTCGTAACGGGTTAAAGGGTTAGTTCACCCAAAAATTAAAATTCTGTCAGTATTTACTCACCCGCATGTTGTTCAAGCATGTAAGACCTTCGTTCATCTTCACAACACAAATTAAGATATTTAAGATATTAAGATACTAGTCCATAGGCTTCTTGAGGGAATGAAACTTGCTGGCATCGAAAAGTCATTAAAGACATCGTTAAAATAGTCCAAGTGACTACAGGGGCTCAATCTTAACTTTATCAAATGACGCGAACACTTTTGTACGCAAAAACAAACAAAAAATAACTACTTTATTTCAACTAGTAGCCTGTAGTGTGATTGTGTAAAGCTACGTCACACGTAGGCTCACTATTGGCCGACGCTGGTCATGTGTGTGATGCGTGTGACGTACAATAACAGAAGCTTACGCTATTAAACTAGTAACCTGACTCAAGGTAGAGGGAGAAATAAACGAATAGTTGAAATAAAGTCGTTATTTTTGTTGTTTTTGTGCACAAAAGTGTTCTCGTCGTTTGATAAAGTTAAGATTGAGCCCCTGTAGTCACTTGGACTATTTTAACGATGTCTTTAATGACTTTTCGAGTCATTCCCTCAAGAAGCCTATGGACTAGTATGCAGGAGCGATCTTAATATCTTAAATATCTTAATTTGTGTTGCGAAGATGAACGAAGGTCTTACGGGGTTGGAACAACATGAGGGTGAGGAAATACTGACAGAATTTTCATTTTGGGTGAACTAACCCTTTAAATACGGATGTTTTTCTCACACAAAGTAAAATGGCCGGATGATAAAGATCTGTCGTGGCTTAAAACAGTCCTGTGTTACCCTTCATGTGTCGGTCAAAAAATACTGAAAGAAATGTTCTATATTTTAGTTCGACAATTTTTTTGTATTTTTAGGGGATTTTATGGTACTAAAAATATATTTACGCTGTATTTATAATCTATTTAAATCTGTGAGGAAATCAAAGCCATAAATCGACACCAGTGTGTTGTGCATGTGCGCTGATCTCGCGAGTGTGTGTGTTCGGCTGCAGTTCCTCGCGCTTCCACTAGAGGACGAGACCAGTGGGACTGCTGCTTTCAGGAGCGTTTAACCTGCTCCAGTCAGGGCCATGATTGTTCTTGTGTTCACACTGCCGGTCCCAAAACCTTTACCAAGTCTCGTACCATTCCGATGAATACCACCTGAAATGTGTTCATTTGTTGGGTCAGAATTGACCGTAGAGCACCAGAGATACACACAGATATTACATCATCTCTCAAAACTGTTAATGCCGTCGCGATATTGCTGGTTATGTCCACATCAGCATCCACAGAGAGCGGAGAGTAATGTGAACACTGGACGTGTGTGCTGCAGGTTCGACTTCACCCATAAGAAGCAGTCTGGAGGCTCGGGTCAGTACGGTAAAGTGGTGGGCGTCCTGGAGCCGCTGGAGCCCGAGAACTACACCAAACTGGAGTTCAGCGACCAGACCGTGGGCACCAACATCCCCAAGCAGTTCGTGCCCGCCGTGGAGAAGGTGAGCGAGGATCATATCCCAGTCGGCCCACGTTCATTAGCGTGCTTGAATATGTGCGCAGATTACATATTTTAAATATGTATGATTTATGGCTTATTGATACCGCACGATTAGTGGCCTAGAGGTCAGTGTGAGCCTGTGTGTGTGTGTCCTCAGGGCTTCAGGGAGGCGAGTGAGAAGGGGCCGCTGACGGGACACAGGATCTCCGGCGTGCGGTTCGTGCTGGACGACGGGGCGCATCACATGGTGGACTCCAACGAGATGTCCTTCATCCGGGCCGGAGAGGGCGCTCTCAAACAGGGTATGTGCCCCCTCCTCCTCTACTGTGTGTGTGTGTGTGCGTGTGTTGACGTGTGTGTCCCTGTGCGCAGCGCTGGAGAAGGCCAGTGTGGTGATCCTGGAGCCGGTGATGTCAGTGGAGATCGTGGCTCCTGACGAGTTCCAGGGGGCCGTGATCGCAGGGGTCAACCGCAGGCACGGCGTGGTCACGGGGCAGGACGGGGCCGAGGGCTACTTCACACTCTACGCCGACGTGAGTCGCTCCCTGGACCTCCACACATTATAGATCACACTCGGGGTGGGAACATGTGGGCCGATAACAGATATATCGGCCGATAAATACAGACTTTGAGAGCTGGATTTCAAAAACAAAGCTCACCATTAAACGCCACGGCCCAAACACTTCAGATATACAGCCTGCTTTTTGTCATCTAAAGTCGCTTATATGACACACACACTCTGTATTTTCCTCAAAGTGATTTCGATCACATTTAAGGCCATCATGTTGAACATTCGCATCTGAAGCGTCTCAGCTGAGGGAAATAACACACCATTGTTCAGCTTTAACATATCGGACTCATTCTCTTATCGGGTCGACATTAAAAATGAACCTGTATCGGCCGATGCTCACATGTTGTGCTTCGCTCAAACCGTATTCACTTAATAGCCCTTAATCCTGTAATTGTGGACACATGTGGGCACAGAGGACTGATCCTAATTTGTATTTATTATAAATGTTATATCACTGTCTTCGATAAAGTTTTGTCTATTCATTTATGGTGTTTTTTTTATATTTTGGGGGTATTTTTGAATTTATTTACTTCAAAAAGTACCATATTTTCTATGTAAATTATGCTTATTTTTATGTTTTATTTTTTTAACTACATTAAAATATCTTTCCAGTAAGTTCTTAGAGCTGAAACCTAAAGATGAAGTGACTTTGCCGTCAGCTGGTGTCTTATTTTGGCTTATTTTAGTTTAATGCTCTACTTTTTCCAGTAAGAGATTAGAAACTGCAAAAAAACTAAAGGAAAACATTCAGACGTGTTGTACAGTAGTAGTACACATTTACAGTGTGTGTAAATGTGTGTGTGAGATTAACCCTTGTGATCATGTTTCAGATCCCGTTGAATGACATGTTTGGATACGCCACAGAGCTGCGCTCCTGCACTGAGGTAAAACACACACACACACACACACACTCAGCGCTGAAGACTGTAGAGTGATCATGCTTGTTCACAGTGTGTGTGTGTGTGTGTGTGTGTTCAGGGTAAAGGCGAGTACACCATGGACTACAGCAGATATCAGCCCTGTCTGCCCAGCGTTCAGGAGGACCTGGTCAACAAACACCTGGAGGCCACGGGACAGATGCCCGCCAAGAAGAGCAAGTGGAAGAACTGAACACACACACACACGGACGTTTGTAAGAGGTGAACAGTCAAGAAGGTCACAGGGATTGGGAGGGTTTGCTCAGTAACTGTAAATGTCGTTGTACAGCAAATGGTCGCAAATGTGGTGATTTAATATAAAATGATGATGTTTTAAATCAGTGTGTGTTGAGTCGCATTGGGAAAGACGTAACACACTTCACCTGACTGGAGCGATTACACACACACACACACACACACACGATAGCTTGATTCCCTCAGACCAGTGAAACATAAACCTAATGTTGAGAGCGAGAGGAGGCATTTTACGCCACACACACCCAGGTCGGTTTACACACACACACACACACACCAGAGCTCAGCGGGAATCTGTTTACTGTGTTAATATAAAGCCGTATGTGACGCGCCTCACCTGACGACACACACTGATGAGCCAGAACTAATGATCATAACCGATTACAGTCCTCCTGTGGAGGCGGGGCTCATTTGCATATTCATAGAACCACGCATACTAAATGAGGCAAGAGTGTTGAGTTACATTCAAGATATTTTTAGGCAATTTTTCAAGGAAAAAAATGTTCATTTTGATGTTTAAAATGAGTTTTAGGGGATAAACTGATTGACTACAGGAGGACTTTAATATGCGGCCTTGTTAGGAGATGATCAACAATATTCGCTTCACCGATGACTACAAAATAATGTTTTGGCTCGCCGATGTACGTGGAAACAAAATGATGAAGAGAAATAAACATTTAGACTTTGCAAACACAGTTTTTTTTGTGTTTCATCCAATCTGATTAAAAGATAAGCACGTCTGAATCCAGTGATTTTGTCACTTCCTGTCTACTGAGATCCCTTCATCTGATTGGTTTGTGTCCTTCGCTGCTTATGATATCCCACAATCCTGTGTGTTCGATTACATGAAAAGAATCAAAATGGCGTCTGAAAGTAGCGATCGGTGGTCAGTTTTTCTACAATATTAAATAATATTGTAGTAATTAAATGTTCACTTAGTTATGCATCTCATTACATTATTAAGCTTCCTCAGAAATCATCGCATGACCCAAATCAGCCGTCGAAGCGTTCAAATCCCTCTTTCTGGATCACAACAGCCCCGAAGATGCTCAGGCCGGACAGTAAGACAGGAATAACCTCAGCAAACACAGCACAGGAACATGAACCTAACGCAGACTGCCGTAATGAGCACTGGTTACCTGGGACGGGGCCGGCGCCGGGTCCGTGGGCCGCGTGAAGCAGTGAGAGACGGGTAGAGCCGCACTGAGCTCAAGCAGAGAGAGAGAGAGGAGCAGCCAGATCATCCTCAGCTACACAACACTGACGCTTTCCAGACGAGAGATCTCCTCACACAGATCCAGAAGCCACGAGTTCACTCAGACACTCGATCATTCACACAGGACACAACACATCTCAGAGTTCATCAATCCCTCCAAAATGATGTCACTTCCTGGAAGATGATGCCAAAAAGGACCTGGCTCAAGTTCAAGAGACTTCACAGAGGAGGAAAGTGATATTGAGGACACGGATTGTTTACTCAAAGATAATATTTTGCGCTCTGTTTCAGGAAATCATGCATACTAAACAGTAAAGTGATCCATATATCATCTGAGTGTCGTGTAACAATAAAACACCAGGAGGCTGGACCAAAGAAGGAAATCTGTCCACTTTCACCATGTGTAATGGGCTGTTGAAGCTATAAGCCCACTGCTAGCTAGAAAACAACAGCATGCTATTGCTAGCAGAAGGTTAACATTTAGGGAGACAAGAAATAAACATGTTCATGTCCAGTATGAACACAACAGGGTTGACATGGTATGTTTTACGCCATTAGAGTCTTCAAGAAATGATAAAAATAGAGAACTGACACTTACTTTGTTCTTGGAGTTGCTTTCCCTCCAAGGAAATGATGTCACGTCTAGCAGGTCATGTGATTTATGGCAGAAACTGGAGTTTGGCAGACAAATTTAATGGTTTTGCGTGTTATATAATCACAATATTAGTACATATCTGTAATATAATAAAATTGAAGAAAAAAAATGTTGTTTACATTCTAAATTAGCAATCCAATTTAAAATAACCTTCATTGGTCCCATTTAGGTGACCTTAACTATTATGTAGGCTACTTGCATGTAACATTAATGATAATATACGTTTATTATCAATTAATTTGTAAAATCAGTTGACATAAGTTAATTCACATTTTTGCGTAAACTATGACGTATTGTTTCATGGCGAAATAAACCCACCAAACTAAATGACTCGACACATCTTACGAATCGCTAAATCAGTTTCGAGTGTTCGAACCGAATCAACACACGGTCTGAACGCGTTTCCAACGGTCATCCGCTTCTGTGGACGTGTGTAAATAAACTCGTGTTTTTAAACACGAATTTAATTGTGAGAATAACACACACACAACACTGATAAATACAAGAAAAAAAATATAAATATATACCAGGAAATGCGAGATGAAAAATCCAAGTTGAAAAAAAAAAAACTGCAGCGTTCCCTATTGATCACGTGACCTCAGCCGCCTGTCACATGACTGCGCTAGTTTGAACCATAGGTTTGAACATGGCAGACAGAGAGGAGCACCGGAGTCTCTTAGATGACGATGATGAGGATGAAGAAGATGAGGGGTCTCGGCACCTGAGCCCGCTGTGTGACCCGAGGCACCTGCTCCACCGGATCCTGGTGCTGCTCTTCATGTGCTTTCTGGGCTTCGGTAAGAACAATCCGGACGACGAGTCACAAGACACACACACACATTATCCACATAAGTTATCCATAAAGCGTTATATTCGCATGATAGCGTGTGGTCTTACTATGTTGTGACCCTGTTTGGGCTCAGTGGTGTCAGATTTCATGTGAAAGTGAAACTCTGTTTGTTGTGTCTGTTTCAGGGAGTTATTTCTGTTATGATAATCCAGCTGCGCTTCAGACTCAAGTCATACAGGTGTGTGTGTGCATTTAGGCTCATGTCCTCTGAGAAAACAAGCATGATTTAATGTTTATGGTAATGTAATGTGTGTGTGATGGTTCTGGGCTCGTTGCAGAAGCCCAGTTGTGTTTGTCTAGTAGGACTGAATGTGTAATAAAGCATCAGCTGAGAGAGTGTGTACTGCTGTCACTGATTGACTGGCGTCTGTGTGTGTGTGTGTGTGTGTGTAGGATATGAGTCTGAACACGGCCTCCTTCATGCAGCTGTACGCCTGGTACTCGTGGCCTAACGTGTTCCTCTGCTTCCTGGGAGGCTTTCTGTTGGACCGGGTCTTCGGCATCAGGTCCAGTCCACACACACACACACACACACACACACTCTCAAGCTTCACTCATATCTCATAACGTCTGCTTTGTTCATATGGCTGCTGGACTGTGAGTGTGTGAACGTCAGCTGACTAACTCTTGTGTTGTTTTAGGCTGGGGACTATCATCTTTGCTCTGTTTGTGTTAATCGGGCAGGTAGGTCATCACACACACACACATGAATAGATAATTTTGGGAATCGAACATCGATTCCAATTGTGGCATTGAATACTTGAGTTCAGGAATCAGATACTTGTTATAAAATAAACATTCGGATTCCTCTTATCGATTGCTCTGTGAGCATTTCAGTGTGAGTTTAACCCTTGTGCTGCATTAGATTTTTAACACCGTTGAGTGCATTAAGGACCAAAAATGGCCACATATTAAACATTGCCTAAAATATTATATATTATTATTATTTTCCACTTTTACCAAGTTAAATCTTTTAACCAGCATCAGTCCTCATCATAACTACCAACAATGTATTCAATTTCAGGATTTTAACCCTTTAATTACCAGTTTTGTTTGCGAAACCATCGATTTGTATAAGAGGAAAAAATACAAAAATTCAATTATTTTCAATAAACTAAATGCAAAGAGAAAACTTTAGATTTGGATTATCACAGTCCCACTTTGCAAAAAATCCCACTTAGCGCGTTAGAGACCAAAAATGGCCACCTATTAAACATTGCCTATTGCCTAAAATAAGGTGCATTTCCACCCATAGGGAATAAATATGTAGTGACGTCATCACTATATAATGCAAATATAATGCTTTTGCTTCAAAATGAAAGGATGTTTGTGCAAAAATCATGTTTCATGTATTACTGACAGCCTCAGATTTCAACAACGTTTTAATGGGTTTCAATGGGCCATTTTTGGTCTTTATGGTGCTGAGTGTTACTATTTGATCTACACAGTGTGTGTTATACATATTTTGCAAAATGGGATCACATTTTTTACATGTATCCAAAAAGTCAAAATTTTGCCAAATTTCATACCATTTGCATTAAAACAGCCAAAATGGTCAAAGAAATTAAACTGCAAAAGACCAAAAATGTCCCTAATGCAGCATAAGGGTTAAAGCATCGACGTGTCGTGCAGGTGTGTGTATCTGGGCAACTGCAGGTGTGTGTAAATCTATACAGGGCCACTGTCGTCTCTATAACACTAATCAAACTACAAAAGTTCTTGCCTGACTAGCTTTTGTAACTATATAATGTATAAAGTGCATGATTGATTAGTTCCTGAAGTCTTACAACACTGTTTATTTCAGGTGTGTCTTTGTTCAGTTGTGATTTCTAATTTTAAAACGATACCCAACGCTACACATAGGTCACATGTACGCTGTACTGCTACAGTCACCCACAACACTCACGCAGCCCAGTTGACCGGTGTGTGTGTGTGTGTGTGTGTGTGTTTATGAGTTGTACGGTTGTTTTGCAGATCATATTCGCAGCCGGCGCTCTGGCCAATCACTTCTGGCTGATGAACGTGGGTCGGTTTGTGTTTGGGTGAGCGTGTCTCCTGACTGAAAGCCTGTAGTTGTGTGTGTGTGTGTGTGTGTGAACGCTGATCCTCTCTGCTGTGCAGCATCGGTGGAGAGTCTCTGGCTGTGGCGCAGAACACGTATGCCGTCAACTGGTTTAAAGGGAAAGAGCTCAACCTGGTGTTCGGCCTGCAGCTCAGCATGGCCAGACTGGTGAGTGTGTGTGTGTGTGTGTGTGTGTCAGACCTCTTACTACCTCATAAAACAGCTTGATCATGTCGGTTCAAGTCGATGTGCAGCTTCATTCTCGGGTTTAAAAGGATCGTTGACTCCGGAAACAATTTACTGGTTATTATAAATATACTTGATGTGAACCTGTTCTACATTTTATTAAAGAAAAATATATATTTATATCTCTATGACAGTGTTATTGTTAAACGACCCCCTTCAGAAGTTTGGGTTTGATGAGATGTTTTAGTGTTTTAATGCGTTTATTTGATCATAAATAGTGGACCATGATTGTAGTGTAAATCATCAGTTTTCTGTGTAAGTATACTGTATAGTAAAGTGTAATGTATTCCTGTGATCCAATCATTACTCAAGTCTTTGGTGTCACATGATCCTTCAGAAATCACTCTAATATGAGGATCTGATGATCAAGACACATTTATGATTATTATCAGTCCATATTTCTGTGGAAACCGTCATACAGAAAGCTCAAAAGAACAGCATTTATTATCTTTTTCAACACTTTTGATCAGGTTAATGCGTCCTTGCAGAGTAAAATGATTAATTTATTTAAAATGACCTCAATCATTTGAACAGTAGTGTGTGTATGTGTGTATATATACAGTACCGGTCAAAAGTTTTAGATCGTTAAGATTTTTTTATGTTTTTAAAAGAAGTCTCTTCTGCTCACCAAGGCTGCAATTATTTGATGAAAAAAAACCAACAAAAACCAACAGTAATATTGTGAAATATTATTACAATTTAAAACAGTGGTTTTCTGTGTGAATATATAGAGAAGTGTATTTATTCCTGTGATCAAAGCTGAATTTACAGCATCATTACTCCAGTCTTCAGTGTCACATGATCCTACAGAAATTATTATAATATGATGCTGAAGAAACATTTCTGATTATTATCCATGTTGGATACATTTTTATTTCAGGATTCTTTGATGAATAGAAAGTTTAAAAGAACAGAATTGATCTGAAATGGAAAGCTTTTGTAACATTAATCACTACCATTCAAAAGTTTGGGTCAGTAAGAATTTATTTTTTATTTTTGGGGGAAAGAAATTAGAAAATACTTTTGTTCATCAAGGATGAGTTAAATTGATCAAAAGTTACAGTAATATTTTAAATAAATGCTGTTCTTTTGATCTTTCTATTCATCATAGAATTTTGGGGGAATAAATGGTACACGACTGTTTTCAACATTGAAAATAATAATTGATGTTTTTTGAGCATAAAATCAGCATATTAGACTGATTTCTGAAGGATCATGTGACACTGAAAACTGATGTGTAATCAGCAACAGTAATGATGTTGAAAATTCAGCTTTCAAATGACATTTTAAAATATATTAAAATAGAAAACAGTCATTTTAAATTGTCATAATATTTCACAATATTACTGTTTCCATCAAATAAAGCAGCCTTGGTGAGCAGAAGAGACTTCATTCAAAAACATAATTTAAAATCTTACTGATGTAAAACTTTTGACCGGTAGTGTGTATATATATATATATATATATATGAAGAGTTCAGATGCAAAAGCCTCTAAATGCCATTTGAAATTTTCATCTTTAATGATGATTTTTATCAAACTTGTATATTTAAGTTCAGTAATTTCACTTAAATAACAATTAATAGGTAATTATCATCCCCATTTAAGTAAAATCACTGAACTTAAATATACAAGTTTGATAAAAATCATCATTAAAGAAGAAAATTTCAAATGGCATTTAGAGGCTTTTGCATCTGAACTCTTCATATATATAGATATATATTTATTGGTGGATTAACGTGAAACTTTAGCTGAAGTGGTGTTGATAATTCTCCAGAGAGCTGACAGATCAGATGAGTGAGTTATATCCTAAATCAGTGGAGAGGGTTATTTCAGTGTGACTGACGTGTGTGTGTGTGTGTGTGTGTTCAGGGCAGCACGGTGAACATGAACGTGATCGGTTGGGTGTACGGCCGTATTCAGTCTCTGACGGGATCAGCGGGACACTCCACTCTCGGGATCACACTCATGATCGGTGAGTATCGTACAGTATGTCACACATCACTGCGCTTTAAAACTAGAAAGTGTGAGCATCTGTAAACTGAGTTGAGTGTTTCTGCAGAGCGTGTCCTGACTCACACACATCAGATGATCAGTTACACACACACACACACACACACACCCTGGTGTGCCTCGTCTTTCACTTCTCCTTCTGCTTCTCACTGAATCTCCTGTCCGGAGTAACGCTCATGATCCAGACACTCGTGTGTGTGTGTAACCCTGATGAAGGCCTTCCTGCTGAAACACACCACTCTTCCTGTTCAGCTCAGAATATCACATTTGAAGGATTTCTGGTGGATTGAGAGGAACTGAAATGCTTAAAAGTGTATCTGAGTGTGTGTGTGACGGTCTCTGTGATGTGTGTGTGTGTGTGCAGCGGCGTCCACGTGTCTGTTCTCGCTCATCTGCGCTCTGGTGCTGGGGTTCCTGGACCGACGGGCAGAGAAGATCCTCAAGAAGGAGCAGGGCAGAACCGGTGAGATGATCCTGACTGATCTCAGAGAGTCCAGCTCTTCAGCGGAGTGTGTGTGTTTTACAGAAGTGTGTGTGTGTGTGTAGGGGAAGTCATCAAGCTGACTGACGTCAAGGACTTTCCCTTCTCTCTCTGGCTCATCTTCATCATCTGTGTGGCGTATTACGTGGCCATCTTCCCCTTTATTGGACTGGGCCAGTGAGTTTCTGCCCAGAACTAAAATCAAGAGTAAACTGTTTAAAACGAGTGTAAATCTAGACATGAACACGAGAGAATCATTATGATGAGATTGTGATGGATGGGTTTGGATGACGTTGTCTTTACCAACAGAGTTTTCTTCATCGAGAAGTTCGACTTCACTACTGTCCAGGCCAGAGCCATCAACAGGTACACACACACACACACACACACCAGGGGCGACGCCAGAAATGTTAAAGTGGGTGGGCCTTCATAAAACAGGGTGGGCAGTGTAGCGTACGAAAACTGCAACTAAATCACCCAAAATAATAATAATAATCCAACACAGCATAACGTGCTGATATAACAGCAAATAACAACATTTAATATAATAGCGAATAACAGCATATATCACTGAATGTACTGTTCTCCAACCAGCCGAATCGCTCATACTATCGGGGAAGTATCACTGGAGTCTGAGTCAAACCTCATCATTAGAGTCTTTATCACTGGAGTGTAGTCTGGACATGTTTAAAAGCTGCGCTGCTTTCCCTCATCCACCCAGATGTGGAGAAGCGCTTTACTTTCACTTTCTGTCAGATGTTTTACTGTAGTCGGTGTTAACGGTAATGCTGGAAGTGATTTACCCCTGTTCACACATGAGCTCAAAACATTTTTATTTGCTTTAGCGACTGAAAGTGCATGTGTGACACGTCTGTTCTTTAACTGTGCAGTATCGTGTACATCATCTCTGCGCCGGCGTCTCCTCTGCTGGGGTTTGTGGTGGACCGGGTCGGGCGTAACGTCCTCTGGGTAATGCTGGCCGTCACCACCACTCTCCTCTCACACATGATGCTGGCCTTCACCTTCTGGAACCCCTGGATCGCCATGGTAAGCCCCCTATGTGTGCCAGTTTGTGTGTGAGGGAGTGTGTCCGATGACCCCTCAGGTCTTTAACCCTGTGTGTGTGTGTGTGTGTGTGTCAGTGTCTCCTAGGCCTGTCGTACTCTCTGCTGGCCTGTGCGCTGTGGCCCATGGTGGCGTTTGTGGTGCCCGAGCATCAGCTGGGAACGGCGTATGGATTGTAAGTCTCTCTTCTGATGTTCCTCATCCTCTGCTGAAGATCATGCCGGTGTTTCTGACACTCTGGTGTGTGTGTGTGTGTGTGTGCAGCATGCAGTCCATCCAGAACCTGGGTCTAGCCGTGATGTCGATGGCTGCGGGAAGCATCCTGGACAACAAGGGTTACCTCTTCCTCGAGGTCTTCTTCATCGCCTGCCTGTGCAGTGAGTATCTGCACAATCATTTCTTTCTTAAATATTAACATTCTAATTGTATTGGAATTCTTAAGGCAATATTTTAAAAATGTACTGCATTGTTTCCTATTGTGTGGTTTCTTAAACCTGTCATCCTGAATCAATCCTGACTCCTGAAGTGTGTGTGTGTTTCAGTGGCTCTGTTTGCTGTGGTGTTGCTGTATCTGTATGATTATCACAAAGGTAAGCTCAGCAATCCCTCCTGACGAACTCGGCCTGTGACGGTCCGTTACTCACACACACTTCCTCTGCTTCTGTCCTCAGAGGGCGAGCTGAACCTGTCAGCCTCGACACGAGCCGAACGACTCAAATCTGAGTGAGTAAACCTCTCTCCTTCACCTCAGACACTCATCTGGCCTCCTCAGTGCCAGGAACACACACACACACACACACACACACACACACTTCTCACGCAGAGGCGTTGAGGGAACAGAAACTGTGGTTCCTCTGCTGGGAGAGAAAATTAAAGGAAGTCAGGGAGAATCTCACACACTGTCAAGAACACATATTCAGATTTCACCCTGAACCGGTGAATTGTGACACTGTATTCAGGACAAATCAACACGTTTAACCGCCAACAACTCATTTTATGTGTGACTAGATATTGTTTGGCGCTGCTGTGTGTTTTCTACTGGGAATCCAAGAGCAGTCCAGACTTTTAAATAGGGCCATTATTTTAAAAATACAGTGTTCTACAATTTATTCTATCAATTAATCGAGTAATCAGATAAATTGTGAACACCATATTGGGAACACCACACTAATACTGTGTTTGACCCCCGTTCGCCTTCAGAACTGCCTTAATTCAACGTGGCATTGATTCAACAAGGTGCTGAAAGCGTTCTTTAGAAATGTTGGCCCATATTGATAGGATCGCATCTTGCAGTTGATGGAGATTTGTGGGATGAAGCTCCCGTTCCACCACATCCCAAAGATGCTCTATTGGGTTGAGATCTGGTGACTGTGGCGGCCATTTTACTACAGTCAACTCATTGACATGTTCAAGAAACCAGTTTGAAATGATCCAAGCTTTGTGACATGGTGCATTATCCTGCTGGAAGTAGCCATCAGAGGATGGGGTCATGGTGGCCATAAAGGGATGGACATGGTCAGAAACAATACTCAAAACAATACCCAATTGGCACTAAGGGGCCGAAAGTGTGCCAAGAAAACATCCCCCACATTTGTGAAAAGCATTCACAAATGCTTTGCTGCATACCTCGGTTGTAACGAGTGGTTATTTCAGTCAAAGTCGCTCTTCTATCAGCTTGAATCAGTCAGCCCATTCTCCTCTGACCTCTCGCATCAACAAGGCATTTTCTCCCACAGGACTGACCCATACTGGATGATTTTCCCTTTTCACACCATTCTTTGTAAACCCTAGAAATGGTTGTGCGTTATAATCCCAGTAACTGAGCAGATTGTGAAATACTCAGACCGGCCCGTCTGGCACCAACAACCATGCCACGCTCAAAACTGCTTAAATCACCTTTCTTTCCCATTCTGACATTCATGGTGCGTTCTATTATTCATCCGTCTCGGAGATCCGAATCGGACGACAGACGTTGCCTAGCAACACGCCCCCTTTCCTCGGATTTCTCCTCTCGGACGTCGGACAACCGCGAGGACACCGAGCAAGAATTCCGTTTCAGAATTCAAGATGGCTGCGCCCTGTGACTTGTAAGAATGAATTGTTTTCATTGTTTTTGAACCGCTTTGGTATTTTAAATGACGATTATAATCACTCGTATTGCATGCGTCCCCTGTAGGTATGGGAATCGGTTGTTGTGAGTGCAATTACTGACGTTGCTAGCGTTGCTAACAGAAGATTAACATGAAAAACATTAATAAAGTGAACATTTTCTAGTTCAAATGGCTGCGTTTTAATAAGGTGTAGTCATAATATTTTTTCGTTTTAATGTAAGTGCCTGCTACTCGGCCAGCGCTACCATTATAACAGCTTTCCGGGTGGCGTCCATTTTTTTCTCCGACTCGGACGCGTTAAACAAATAGAACGCTTGAAGTGTGGACGTGACGTCAAATCCGAGGTCCGAGTCGGTTCGTTGGCTATAATAGAACGCACCATCAGTCTGGAGTTCAGGAGATTGTCTTGACCAGGGCCACACCCCTAAATGCATTAAAGCAACTGCCATGTGATTGGTTGATTAGATAATTGCATTAATGGGTAATTGAACAGGTGTTCCTAATAATCCTCTAGGTGAGTGTATAATCCCACAATCACTCTGTCCATGCCAGTGAACCCATCAACACAAGATGGCCGATGAGCTTAGTGAACTCAAGTTTGTGTGTGTGTGTTTCAGGTGATGGCTCTTCTGCTCTGCGTCCTTGACTGAACACTTTCCCACATCACCCACAATCCTCTAGATGAGCACCGGACAGACGGACACCACACACACACACACAGAAAGCACTTTACTTTACATGATCCTGTGACATTATTCTCAGCAATTAAAAAAAAAAAAAAAAACTGTAATGCCAAAATTTTTTATAATATGCCATTTTAATAATACTTTTGATATTGCTGCCATGTTATTACCCTGTAGTGCCTAAACTTATAACTCTTGATTTTATTAAAGAAACTCTGTCAGGGTAGGATGATTTTAAGCACTTTATTATTGTAGAAATGGGTTCATTGTAATGAAAATAATGTCACAAGGTCCTAAAGTATTCTTGATGTATTCTTCCCCTTTTCTCTCTCTCTCTCTCTCTTTCTTTCTTTCTTTCTTTTTCCTTTGGGGATGAAATATGAGGCACATTTCTTCATGAGGTCCAGCTGATGTGGGAAGCATCTGAGCAGTTCTCACTTGTTCTCGATTCGGACCCTGAGCCGGTCCTTTGCACAGCCTGTGCTGTCCCGCACCGGACTCACTGCATCAGGACACACTCCGACTGGCAGCTGCTCCTCTCTTAACTCTATTGTAGCTTCAGTTTTAATTCTGTTTTATTTGCGCAGATTGATTGATTTTATCTCCAAAGGACTGACGATTTACCATCTGTTCATCATGACGAAGTGTCTTTGGGCCGGTCCACAGAACGCGTTTGTGCTGTTAAAACCCTGAGACGAAGGTCTAGAGACACGTTTTTTAAAAAGTTGAACTTCTTTAACTTGAGCACTGTGTTTCTAGAAAGCCGTATAATGAGCGCAACGGTTCAAGACGTCCGTCTAGTGCATTATGTTGGAAAATACCGGAAAAGTGGAATGGAGAAACGTGTTCTGTGTGAACGGCCCCTCACTCATAGATATTGTAAATGGCATTTTATACTGACTTTAAAGCATTTTTCTTGAATATTTGTCGTGTTATTATTGAAATTTCTTGAAGATTTGTAATTTAATTTAGTCGTAAAACAGCGGCAGGAGGCAAATACATCAACATGTTAAAATCATTTCAAGAGTTTACATGATTCAAATATATATATATATAATCAATGTACAATTATATTTTTTTTTAAGCGATACATTTTGCTTTAAAATATAGTGGATTTTTTGTACCTTATGTTTTCTATCAGAAGTATTTGGGTTGAATTATGGCCTCTGACAGCGTACTGCTGATATGGCTTCAGCTTAATCTCTGTGTAATATTTCATCTTTAGCATGTAATGCTGTATTTGACATACTATTTGATATCAGTTGTTCTGAGCTACTAATCAAAGATGTCCAGCGCAGCTCGTCATGATGGTGTGTGATTCTGAACACCGAGACTCTTGACTCTCATGAGGAGAATAAACACATCAGATGAACTGGTTCGTTTTCTAGTGTGTGTGTTTTTGTAAATGTCGGTGTAGTGAAACTGCAGTTCTGTCTCAGGGATGTCCAGCGTGTCCATCCGGAGACTGTGGAGGATCGAGAGCATCTGAAGCCTCTGTCCCCGTTCGGTCTACGCAACCGCTATCTGTCCAGACTGGGCGTGCAGGTGACACACACACACACACACACACACAGACATCTGGGCATGCATGTTACAGAGAAAACACACTGTAATATCTGATGCTTCTGCACAAACCAGCACTTTTCACAGGGTTCATACAAGATGCTTCAAATGTAATTGAATTTGACGTTTTGAATTTTAAAGGGATAGTTCACCCAAAAATGAAAATTCTATCATCATTTACTCACCCTCATGTTGTTCCAAGCCTCTATGTGTTTATTTAATCTGCTGAACACAAAGGAAGATATTTGGAATAATGTTTTAATCAAACAGATCTCATTCCCCATTGACTACCAGAGTAGGAAAAAATACATACTGAGATCTGTTTGATTTAAAACTTTCTTCCAAATATCTTCCTAAAATAAACACATAGAGGTTTGGAACAACATGAGGGTGAGTAAATATTGACAGAATATTTATTTGTGGGTGAACTATCCCTTTAAGTCCTGGAAAACCCTTGAAAACAGCCATATTTATGAAAATTACTGTAATGGATGAGATTGTGTTGCTATTGTGCCGTGATGATCATCTGTTAGAGTCTGTGTTCTCCATAAAAGCTCTCTTTAATTCTAACTTGCTTCAGTAAAGTTACAGCTCGATAGAGAAGTGATTCTACATAAGGAAATCAGAATAAATAATAGTTTACAGTTTCTATAGAGTTATCTTAATCTTAATTCAATAGAGTTTCTTAGTACAGTCACAACAAACATTAATCATAAACAACAGTAAATAGTTATTAGTTTGTCTTTTGATGTAGAAGTGTTCAAAAAGACAATGATATGCTCTTAAAGAAAATATGGAAACGATATAAAAATGAGCTGTAGCACACATCATATGAATCTAAAATTCTATATAAACCGTAATAATAATTATAATGCTATTACTTAACAATTACAATGCAAAACCTAAATGTACGCATTAACTGAATGCTTGACAAACAAAGTGTCCACTGAGCATACAGTCTGAAAACACAAAGTTGATCATCCTCACAAACATATACATGTAGTGTGTAAATATGATAATACGCACAATAACACACAAATCCACCAAAGCAAGATTAATTTAGCAAACAACTCTCAAAATCCTGGTTTTCTTTCTGCCTTTTGCATCACTACAAATGAATAGAGGTTTTTTTTTTAGGCAGTCATGTTGATAGTCTTCTAGCGCCCTCTGCTGGACTGGCTTGCACTTTACTTTTCAACAGCCGCCCACAAACGTGCAGTTATTGGGGATTATTTTCCCCATCATCCGAGATTGAGTCTGTCCACAGGATAATTTGGGCTTTGTTCTTGGTTAGTTCCCTCTGAAACACTTGGGCAAGTTGAGCTTTCCTGTAGTTCAAACAGTAACGCCAAGGTCATGGGTTCAACTCCCAGGGTAAGCAAGAACTGATAGGAATATAAATGTGTACCTTGAAATGCAATGTAAGTCGCTGTGGATAAAAGCGACTAAATAAAATGAGGGCGGCACACAGCTTTAGCCTGGACATTGAAAGTTGTTTCTTGGGAGCTACTCGCGATCGGGCAGTAACGAATGCCAGCTCATCATGGCCGTGTAGATTATCAGCCTGCAGATATACAACACACCTGTAGGCCCTCTCTGAAGCATCACAGAAGATGTGGACTGCATTGTTGCAGCTGGGGTAAAGCAAAATGAGATGTTTTCAAGATGTTGCCATTGGAGTTCGCTCTCCCAAGCTTTCCAAGCTTCAAGAATGTCACCAGTGGGTCATCCCATTCTCTCAACAGTTGAACAAGAATCTTGGCCCTTGTTGTGAACGGGGGGGATGAACCCTAGTGGCAAGCACCCTGTAGATATTTCTCAATGTTGTAGGGCTTGCTTCTTGCAGATGGGACTTGTATGTCAGGGGGATCTGACCTACACCTCCAGCTGAAATCTGGGATGTTACTTGCCCATTGCCTTAATTCAAAGCGCTCCTCCACTGGCCAGTAGCTCTCTCACCTTGTTGACTGCTGTTTTAGCTGATTTAGGGGAGCCAATTGTCCACATAAAAGTTTCTTTCAAAAGCATCCTGCACATCATTTCCTACTTGACTGTGATCAGTGATGTGCATATGTGGCACAGCATGGGGAGCAAGTTGTCCTAAATGGCAGGCCTTGCCATTCGTATACACTAGGAGGGTTGTCTCTCTGCATAACACACGGCAGAAACTGTAAGAGTGGTCTGTCCTCAGGAATAGCTTTACCTGATGAAACATACCTTTTAATGACACTGCTGACAGCTCTAAATCCCAGCAGGATGCCTAGCAGAGAAGAGCTTAAATTAGGACAAGGCGGGATCAATTCATTACAATTGTTTGCTTGATGGGTAAAGGAAGAGTTGAACACAATTCTGTTTGTCAGTCACCATATGATGCGGGATGAACCATGACTCTCTAGTCTAGATGACTCCCACATTTCTTGACTCACTTCTGTGGTGTATCCAGCCTGTTCTAGTTTCTGAATTTCTGAGCTGTATGCTGTGGCATAGTCTGGATCCCGGAAGAGGCGCTCCTCTGTCCTCCACAGGTTGTTAAGGACTGAAGTTGGTTTATGTTCCCTTGAACTTTCCAGTCTGATCCTGTCGAGACCTTGCCACCAGCTTTTCACTCTCATATGCAAGATGTTGAGCTGCCCAAGCTTTTCCAAAGTTTTGTGATGCAGCTCAGCTGATGGGGAGAGTGTTCTGGTGAACACGCATGTTGTACCACTCCATTCTGTTGTGGTAAGCACTTGGTTGGGCCTAGAAGTATCCAGCCAAGTCTAGACCCCCCAGGTGGACCTAACCCTACTGGCTGGATTGGGGTTATTAAAGGGAAAGTTCACCCAAAAATTAAAATTAGCCCATGATTTACTCACCCTCAAGCCATCCTGGGTGTACATGACATTCTTCTTTCTTTTTTTTTTATATTAAAAAAACATATTGATGGCTTGCTCTTTTTCAATAACAATTTATGTGAAATTAGTGTTTTATTTTATCGATAAAAACAATCTTTGCACACAATCAACGTTGCAACCTGTCTGCTATAGATATAGAGCCATTTTGCATGGCCATGCGCTAGATATTGCTCATGCTTTATAAATTTCCAAGTATATGATACAGCTTTCATTCACAGTCGCCACAGTCATTACTTGTGTGTCACACTTTGTTCGAATTTTTGTTTATCTATTTACCTTTTTTGAATATAAAAGATAATAATGAAATTGTTTGATAAGGGGATCTCTAATTGTAGTGGTGCTTAAAGTCCTGGAATTTAATTTTACAGTATCTGTACGAACCCTGTTTGCACGATTGATTTGTCACACAAACCTCCAGCTATAGGACGCACCCTAACAAACACTAGCAACCATGAATGCAGGATTATTTCTAATTGTACATTAATCCTATAATGCTCATCATCTTCTTTGAAAGTCATTGGTTGTTCTGTCAACAGATGCCGGACCACTGCTCCCCACATCTGTCTTCACTGGCCTACAGGAGTCTACTCAAATGAGTGTGTGTGTGTGTCTGAATGTATATCTGTGTGTGCCACTGCAAAATGTGGCGCTTCACTGCTGCTAGAATTAAAATATTTGTATTATTAAAACATTTGTTTTTGTGTGCATTTTGGATGTTTGATTAATATCCAGCAAAAGCCCTTCAGTACACGAGTTGGTCCGAGAAAAGAACAAACTCGCTCATAGGGCCCTATCTTGCACCCGGCGCAAATGACCCGGCGTACACTGACGCATATATCAGTCCTATTTTGATGCCGCGCGAAGCGGGCTTTTCCCTCCACAGACGCATGTCGGTAAGCTAGGAAATGAACTTGCGCTCCCTGGGTGGATCGGGGCAAAAAGGAGGCGCGTTTCGGCGCAAACATTCCCTGGTGCTATTTTGCAGTTCCAGAAAACAAATGCGCCACTGACCAGAAAAAACCTGGTCTAAAGTCAAAAGGCACGTTGTTCATAATGCTATTTTAAGCGTGCATCCTTTCCCATAATGTAGCAGGTGCACAACGCGCATACACTTTGATTCTCTCAACACAAATGCAGCAGTTTTTATATTTGCAAATCATACATTGTAACGAGGTTCAGGGAAGGAACCGGATAACAATCAAAATAAAACTTTATTTTAATGAAATAAACAAACAAAATACTTGCCAGCAGTCTGTCACGGAACTGCTGGCTTACCAAAATAAAATATAAAATACAAACAAAAGCAGGCCTGTTCCTGTTCCTAAAATAATAACAATCCACGATACAACATGCGCACCTGCTCAGGGTATGTTGGATGACGCTCTGATTGGTTTATTTCATGTTACACCAAACCACACCTATGAATAATGAAGCTATTTCAGACCAACCCTTATAATAAAATTAGCCTATGCCATCCCCTATGATAAAAGGCCTACAATAATTCTAATAATTTAATACATAAATTGGAAATGCTAAATCATCTTGATATTCATAGTTGATGCTTGTTTTGACAATATCTCTGGAAACATGATATCGTCAATAGGCGCAATATCGCAGATATTTAGTGTGAGCAGTGAAGTCGCTGGTCGATGATCGGACCGTATAGTGTGAGCACATAAATTCCTGAGATTTGCTTTTACATCGCATGCGCTTTACTCGTTCAGTGTGAGTACCGTTCTGAAACAGTGTACTGTACATGCCCGCCTTTACAGTAGCTACTGAACGCGTGTGACAACTTGCCCCGCGTCCCCTTTAGCATCAGTAGGAGGAGCGCGCGACTGATGCTGAGGGTCTGATTGGCTGAGAGGAAGAGCCCAGGACGGTCCTGACGCTCGCGCGCGCTCGCTCCTCACGCGGGT